AAGAAAGAAAGAAAGAAAGAAAGAAAGAAAGAAAAGAAGCTTCTTTGTGAGTTTGGGTATTTAACTGTGTGGTCTTCTAAAGCCAGAGTATGTTGAGTCAGCTGACCTTTCCCCCCAGCTGCCGCCAGCCCCCCTCTGTCACGGGGACGGGCGCGCTCTGGAGCAGAGAAGGACGCGGCTGGGAATGCAGCCCCCCGATGGCCGCTTCTCGGCTTCATGGGCTCCTGGGAAACCAGGCTCCCGAAACTCAAAGGCATGCGAGCGTGGTCTGTAAGGTTCGCACCAGATTCTTAGGGCTGTGTCTCAACAACCCCATCTTGGCTCTGGTGTGGCCTCCCTGGCCGCCGTGGTCATGCAGGGTTACACAGGGGCTGAGGGTGTTTCTCTCTCCTAGTCGACACCCCTGGGCATCTCTCCTCACAGTCAGCTAGAATTTTGAGCAAATCTGCTTAGTGACGATAAGTAGCTTAAAAAAAAATCTATTAATTCCAGGAAGAGAAGAGTCCTGATGAGGGTGGAGGAGACAGGAGGGGGATGGGGCTCACCTCTCTCTGGACTGATTATTGAAAAGGGTCATTTTATCCAGCCGTGATCCACTCTCCTTACCAACACAATGTTCCCCGTGAAAATGATCAGCACTCAGGGTCAGGAACCGAGGAGGTGAGAATCTGCAGAACACTATCAACTGCCTTCTTCTCAGGATGCGTGAATTACTCAGCTAACTATCTCTTTCCCTGGAGAAAGAGGGGCCAGGGAGAAGCAGCTCTAAGAGCCAAAGCAGCAGGATGGAAAGTCCAAGTTTTAGATTTCGGAGGCCATCTGTTACGGCAGGGTGAACCGAGACCTCTGACGGTCTCAAATCACCGTTATGATGTCGGTAAAATGCTGACGCCACAGTGACTGAATTGACACCAAGGCGTGTTGCCATCCACTCATCTCCAGATGAGCGGCATCAGAGGCGGTCATGAGTATGTGAACCGGAAGTTCAGGGGGGTTTCACTGTAGACCTCGAGTGTTACACTGAGTGGAGGTATTTCTGGCCACGTGGAGGGAAATGAAGTCTGTGCTGCAAGCAGTGTTAGCCCTGGACAGAGGCTGCTCACTGACAGGTGTCGGGAACATGTCCCCAACTACTTGCCCTCAAAGCCACAAAGCACCTTCTCAAGTCTCCTAACTTTCCAAGGTGGGGCTTGCTGGGCAGAGGGGCTTGGACCCTTGCCTTTGGGCAATGTGGATTTTATGCTAAATAGGGTAATAGAAAACGTTTACCACTTCTGGTGCTATGCAATGCAATTAAGAAATAGCGACCTTTTTCTGTTATTTAAAAAACGTCCTCTCATATTCTTGCTTAATAATATTTAATAATATTTCTTTCCCCCGAAAGACAGCCGTAGTCTCAGATTTCAGAATCACCTTCTCAGTTCTTCGGACTGACCCAGACATTCAGACAGTGTGGATGTTCTCCACGGCTCACGATGACAAAGCTTTGGCTGCTTGCATTTTAATTTTCTCGAAGACCTAACACGGGGTGGCAGGTCAGAATGAATAAACAGTATTTGGTACCAAGTCCTCAAACCCTCACACTTCCTTTTTTTTTCACTCAAGCTGTTACCATGTAGGAAAACAAATTCAATCTTTTAGAAATGTATTATGGAATATTTCAGATATGCAGAAATGTATAACAAATACCTCTGAGCTCGCTATTTAAGAAATAAAACATGAACCACACAAGTCCCTGCTATACCCCTCCCCACCCCAAACCAGATAACTGTTCTCCCGAATTTGGTATCATTCCCACACTTTGCTTCACTGTGGTTTTCAAGTTTAGTGGAGGGCAACCTCATAAACGTTTTAGATTGCACTTCTGGTTACTTGTGAGATTACGCCTGTTTATTAGCTATTCTATTTTCAACATCTTTGAATAATCCTTTTGTATCTTGTGATCATTTTTTCATAGGGAGGTTGTGTTTGTCTCTCTCATTACCTTGTGGGAGTTCTTTATGTATTACGAATGCTAGTCCTTGTGGGAGTTCTTTATGTATTATGAATGCTAGTCCTTTCTCAGATTGGTGCAGTATTTTCCCTCTGTTTGCTTTGTTTTTGTAAACTTTGCTTAAGGTGAATTTTGGTGCACAGATATTTTGAGTTTTAATGGACTTAAATTTTATAAACCAAATCTTCTGATTTGTCCGGATCTTGTCCAAGAAATACTTCTCCATAAAGGTCGTCTCCAATATTTTCATCTAAAAGTTCCACCTTTTGCATTACATATTTAGCTCTTCAATCAGCCTGCGATTCATTTTTATATGTGGTATGGGGCAGGGGTCTATTTTCTTCCTGTTTCTTCCATTGACAAGTTCAGCTCTTCCTCACCCACCCTTCAAGGCAGATCATCTTCTGTCACCTATCAAGGGTCGGGCTCTCTGCCATGTCCCGTTGGTCTATTTGTCTGTCCCTGGGTGAAAACCACACTGTCTTAATTACGATCACTTCATAAAGGTGTTGACAAGAAAGCAATTTCCTCCCCCTCGTTCTTCTTCAAAATTATGTTGGCCATTTGGGGCACACATTGAATCGTTATCTTTCCCTTGAGTTTGCCCTGGCCAGGTGCAAGCAATCAAATGGCAGGACAGTGGGCAGAAGGGAGAAAGCAGGCCCTGGATGGTGCAGGGGCTGAACACTTAACTCCTAAATAAATTCACTCCTAAGAAACTGCTGTGTAATATGACTACAGAAAGCCTATATACAACAAAAAAATTTGTTTACAAGAAGAAACACCACTATGTTTTAAAATAATAGTTTATTGATTTTGAGAGAGAGAGGAAGGGAGAAGAGAGAAACATCCATGTGAGAGCACAACAATCGGCCGCCTCCGGCACGCCCCCTACAGGGGATCAAGGCCGCGACCCAGGCATGTGTCCTGACCGGGAATCGAACCAGGGACTTCTTGGTGCACAGGACAATGCCTAAGCAACTGAGCCACTCTGGCTAGGGCACAAAACTGTTAAAAAAAAAACATCTTGTCTGGGCTGTAGCAAGGGTCATTCAAAAATAGAAACTAGAGACCATCCTCATCAATGCCAATGTTCTTGCCTTTGTTTCTTTAAATAGTACTTTTAAACATATTTTTGCATAGAGGTTGTCACAGAGAGTTCTATAAAATAGTGCTAAAACTGCACATTTCTTTCCAGGATCCCTCAGAGCATCCAAACTGAAGGTCAAACGGTCCCTAGCATTGTATAGAAGGTCAGACTGTCCCTGGCATTCACACTGAAGGTCAGACTGTCCCTAGCATTGTATTGAAGGTCAGACTGTCCCTAGCATTCACACTGAAGGTCAGACTGTCCCTAGCATTGTATAGAAGGTCAGACTGTCCCTGGCATTCACACTGAAGGTCAGACTGTCCCTAGCATTGTATTGAAGGTCAGACTGTCCCTAGCATTGTATAGAAGGTCAGACTGTCCCTAGCATTCACACTGAAGGTCAGACTGTCCCTAGCATTGTATAGAAGGTCAGACTGCCCCTAGCATTCACACTGAAGGTCAGACTGTCCCTAGCATTGTATAGAAGGTCAGACTGTCCCTGGCATTCACACTGAAGGTCAGACTGTCCCTAGCATTGTATTGAAGGTCAGACTGCCCCTAGCATTCACACTGAAGGTCAGACTGTCCCTAGCATTGTATTGAAGGTCAGACTGTCCCTAGCATTCACACTGAAGGTCAGACTGTCCCTAGCATTCACACTGAAGGTCAGACTGTCCCTAGCATTGTATTGAAGGTCAGACTGTCCCTAGCATTCACACTGAAGGTCAGACTGTCCCTAGCATTCACACTGAAGGTCAGGCTGTCCCTAGCATTGTATTGAAGGTCAGACTGTCCCTAGCATTCACACTGAAGGTCAGACTGTCCCTAGCATTCACACTGAAGGTCAGACTGTCCCTAGCATTCACACTGAAGGTCAGACTGTCCCTAGCATTCACACTGAAGGTCAGACTGTCCCTAGCATTCACACTGAAGGTCAGACTGTCCCTAGCATTCACACTGAAGGTCAGACTGTCCCTAGCATTCACACTGAAGGTCAGACTGTCCCTAGCATTGTATAGAAGGTCAGACTGCCCCTAGCATTCACACTGAAGGTCAGACTGTCCCTAGCATTGTATTGAAGGTCAGACTGTCCCTAGCATTCACACTGAAGGTCAGACTGTCCCTAGCATTCACACTGAAGGTCAGACTGTCCCTAGCATTGTATTGAAGGTCAGACTGTCCCTAGCATTCACACTGAAGGTCAGACTGTCCCTAGCATTCACACTGAAGGTCAGACTGTCCCCTAGCATTCACACTGAAGGTCAGACTGTCCCTAGCATTCACACTGAAGGTCAGACTGTCCCTAGCATTCACACTGAAGGTCAGACTGTCCCTAGCATTCACACTGAAGGTCAGACTGTCCCTAGCATTCACACTGAAGGTCAGACTGTCCCTAGCATTGTATAGAAGGTCAGACTGCCCCTAGCATTCACACTGAAGGTCAGACTGTCCCTAGCATTGTATTGAAGTCAGACTGTCCCTAGCATTCACACTGAAGGTCAGACTGTCCTAGCATTCACACTGAAGGTCAGACTGTCCCTAGCATTGTATTGAAGGTCAGACTGTCCCTAGCATTCACACTGAAGGTCAGACTGTCCCTAGCATTCACACTGAAGGTCAGACTGTCCCTAGCATTCACACTGAAGGTCAGACTGTCCCTAGCATTCACACTGAAGGTCAGACTGTCCCTAGCATTCACACTGAAGGTCAGACTGTCCCTAGCATTGAAGGTCAGACTGTCCCTAGCATTCACACTGAAGGTCAGACTGTCCCTAGCATTCACACTGAAGGTCAGACGGTCAGAGCAGGGGTCTGTGACTGAAGTACTCTTTGTCCCATTCTAGGGAGACTTGTACTCCTGCAAAATGCTCTCTGTGACATTTCCTACCCTCATGCTTACTGCTTGGTGTTCTGCAGTGTCTTCAGATTCAGACCCTCTTATACGGAACACAGGACAAGAGGACGCTGGCCACCCAGCAGGCCCTGGACGTCCTATCCAAGTGAGTGACCGTCCCTTGAGCTTCCCCTGAGCACCACACTCATTGGCCGTTGAGAGTCTCGGAGGGAGCCGGCTCTGTGGGGTCCCGGGGAACTAGCCGTGGGAAGTTTACCGAATTCCTGTTCCTCATACGCTATGCAAGACCAGCCCCTTTGAAAGCCCAGCTGTAAATATCCTCCTCACCCGGATATGGAGAAGGAATGACCTCTTGAATAATGTCAGAAACATTATTCAGAGCTGGGATGAGGCCTTCGAAGGACCAGCCGCCTGCAGTCATCTGGTGCTGGGGGACGGTGGGACCTGCCTTGTGCTTCCCTGTGCTCTCTTGGGGTGCTCTTGGGTGGGAACCCGAGAACCCTGACTTCACCCTGAAGCTGGCCCCACGTCTTCCTTGGCACTGAGCAGACGCCCTGCTGTGGAGGTGCCCCCTCGCAGAGCCTGTGTTCCCAGAGAGCCTGTGGGCTGACTGCCAAGTCCATGCTCCTGGAAGTGCCCGCCTCGGACACACCAGCAGGGGGCACTGTCCCGTGCTCCCAGGCCCCCAGCACAGGGAGAGGGGCCACCTCGGCCAGGAGCCTAACCTTTCTGCTCCCATTTGCTCGCCGGGCCAGCGCAGGGTTGACTGTCTGAGCCCCGTGAGAATGGTCGCAGGAATTAGAACATACCTGTTCTATGTCCCTGGGCCACGATTCTCCTCTCACCCTCTTTCCCTGCCGGGGCTCCTTCATGAAATTAACTCGGCAGCTGCGGGTCTGTCTTCACAGCAACCAGGGCGGGGGGACCCTGGGCGGGGTCTGAGGGGCACCACACTTACCACCCTCTGCTCTTTCCCAGGACCCCCCAGATGGCCGTGAAGCTGAGGCAGGCCCCGAAAGCTAGACCAGCCTTCTGCACTGGCCTGGCCCAGCACCCCACTGTGCTGGGGAAGGCCAGGCCCCATGCAGCGGACTGAGACCGCACTGCACCCCAAAGAAAGCTCTGCTCACGCCTGGTGCTGGATCAGCATCTCTCCTGGTGGCAGGTGGAATCCGGCGTCACTGGACGGCTTCTCCAGGCTGGCTGTGTGTCACCATACCCGAGCTGGGGCGCGTGCGGACGCTGGCTGGTCTTCAGGTGCTTCCAGAAGGCATGTACCTTTTCAGCGCCTGAGTGGTTCTTGCCAACCGAAACTTTTACCCATCAGCACGCCTGGGGCTGAAAAGCTTCTCCTGAGAAGTTGAGACCCTCCTGTGCAGGGCACAGATGTACCACCTCACTGTGTGTGTACCCCTCTGCCCAGGTCTGGGGTCGGGTTTACGGCAGTTCAATCTGGGAAGAGCCCTTTCTTATAGGAAGGCAATAGTGACTGAGAACAAAACGCCAATAAAAGGAGACTTGGGCCCTGGCCGCTTTGGCTGAGCGGTTGGAGCATCCGCTTGTGGACCAAACAGTGTCGGGTTTGACTCCGGTCAAGGGCATGTGCCTTGGTTGCAGTTCGATCCCTGGCCCTGGTCAGGGTCATACAGGAGGCAACCAATAGATGTGTCTCTCTCACATTGATGTTTCTCTCTCTCTCTCTCCCCCGTGCCCCCACCCCTACTGCATCTGAAAATCAATGGAGAAATATCCCCTGGTGAGGATTAAAAAAAAAGACTCAGGAGTGCTGGGGTCGGCATGTGTGGGCAGAGCTGTTCCTTCCCCTCCCCCCTCCCCCCACTCTCACCCAGCAAGGGCGCTAAGATCCCAGCAGGTGCAGCACGGGCACCCTTCCGTGCCAGAGCCCAGGAGAGAACCCCAAACCACTGTGGCTCCATTTGTGCAGGGGGCCACCTCAAGAATCGATGGGGAAACCAACCAAAAAGATCCACGTGACCGGGTGGAGAGAGGCAGGGTCCCTTCCTCCACAGGCACGTAGCAGCGACCACACGGGCCACCCAGCTCATCCCCACGCACCTCAGACAGGCCTGTGGAATGAAGGCAACGTGCAAAGAAGGGGCGACAGGTGGCCACCACTCGGCCAGTGTCCCGTCTAGTCGGAGATACGGGTTCTGATGTGCAGGGTTGGAGGAGGAGTTTGAGTGTGCACCACACGGGACTCTGCCAAGGACTGAACGTTCGTCCCCCCAAAACCCAGACGCTGAAGCCCTGTCCCCAGGGCGGTAGTTTAGGGGTAGGTCTCTGGGAAGTGACTGGTACCTGAGTTAGACCCCCATGAGTGGGATTAGCTCCCGTGTAAGAAGAGACACCAGAGAGATGGTGTGTCTCCACCATGTGAGGACAGAGCAGCAAGGCGGCTGTCTGCAAACCAGGAAGAGAGCCTCCCCGACCCAGAACCGAATCCCGCAGCTCCTCGGTCTCGGACCCGCCCCTCCAGAACTGTGAGGAGTGAACGTTACGTAAGCCTCCCCGTCTGCGGTGCCTGTTACGGCAGCCTGACAGACAAGACCGTCTATCCCGGGTTATTGAAAAAAGAACCAACAAGTCAATTCTGATGTTCTGGTGTTACTTTTCCCTTTCTTTCTATTTTTCTTGGAAGACAGTATCTTGGAATCACAGGAACTAAAACATGTTTTGAAAAATTTAGCTGCCCGGCCGGTGTGGCTCAGTGGTTGAGCCTGACCCCTGCACCAAGAGGTCGCCGGTTCGATTCCTGGTCAGGGCACATGCCCAGGTTGTGGGCCCGATCCCCAGTGGGGGGCATGCAGGAGGCGGCCAATTAATGTTCTCTCTCATTGATGTTTCTATCTCTCCTTCTCCCTCTCTCTCTAAAATCAATAAAGAAAAATTATATATAGCCCTGGCCGGTTTGGCTCAGCGGTTAGAGTGTCCGCCTGCGGTCCGGAGAGACCCGGGTTCGGTTCCTGCTAAGGGCATGTACCTCGGTTGCAGTTTGTCCCCGGCCCTGGTTGGTCGTGCGGGTGGCGGCCACTCGATGTGTCCCTTTCACATCGATGTTTCCCTCTCTCTTTCTTCATCTCTCTCCCTCCCACTCTGTCTGTACAAAAGATGGAAAAATGTCCTCGGGTGAGGATAAAAAAAAAGAAAGAAAAAATATATATATTTTTTAATTTGAAGTTAGCTGCCACACTAGGAAAGAATGAATTTTGGAATATTCTACCGAACATCTCTAATCTATTAAGTGTGTTCATTCCAACACGAGAGGAAGACAATAGCTATTTATGGATTTTATTTTGTAAAAGGTTACAAACAGGTAAGGGCATCTAACTCCCTTTGTCTCAAACCACAACCTTTTAAGGCTAAGCAGTGGCCAGGATTCACTAACCACTCCCGGATGCGTGGACGTTAACCAACCATCTCGGTGTGCCCAGGACTGCCCTGGGTTTAGCTCTGAAAGTCCTGTGTCCCAGGAGACCCCTCATCCCAGCCCAAACGGGATGGTCAGTCATCCTACCGGTGCTGGCCTTCCTGGTGATGTTGATGACATTCTCACCACAAACCTGCCCGTCTGCATCGGAATACAAGCGAGTGGTTTATGCTCTGTTTGCCATACTTTCTAGTTATGTGCTAACAATACCAAGTTCTGGTTTGAGCAAGGCACTAAAGATCTGGAACTCTTCATATATATTCTCCCCAGTGATTACATGGCATCATGGAAAACATGCATGTAACTACATATATGTTTTAATGAGCGTTTAAACAGAAAACACAAACACGAGGGTGACCTGTCACAGTGCCAAGGTCATGCCTACCCCTGAGTGACACCTGCTGGAGAACATTTGTTCTCTTAAGAGCAAGGTGAGCTTTCGGGTTTTTAATTTCTTTTTTCCTTCGATTTTTATTTTTACACGTTCTTGTGACATTTTCCTTTGAAGGGAACAGGAACTTAGCAAAGTAGGCTTTTTAGATGATTCCATTCTTAATATACATTGTAAACAAGAGCAAAACAAGCCGTGGCAGGTGGGAAACACTCCATTGATACTGTTACGTCTAAACAGCAACAAACAGGAAAAGGCTGTGTCCTCACCCCATCCGACCACAAAGTTGGAGTCTGTTGTCTCCGGAGTGCCAGGTTATGAAGGCCACGAAGCTGTGGGGTGACCTGTCACAGTGCCGAGGGCACGCCCTGCCCCCGAGGGACCCGGAGACTTGGTAACCATCGGCAGCTCGAGACTCCCTGTTGGTCAGGACTCTTGGCAGGATACTTCTCAAAGATGTTCACTCCAACATGGAGATAGGGATTAAGATCTAAGGTGTTTGTTTTCCAAGTAGAAGTGGACCCCCATATTAACAGCCTGTGCACCCACATACAAGGTCACGAGCTACATTCGTGCCATCAAACGAAGCCACTCAGACTCATATAATCGGCTCTCGTCATCAGTCTGTCCAGCCATCGGAACTGTCCCCCTGACCAACTTCTCACCAATAAATCACCTCGACACATATTACCGGGCATGGCCAACAAGCCATCAGCCCATCCTGGCTTGACTGTTAGAAAGGAGGAGGCTTGTTTAGAAGGCCCTCGCCTCCCTGCCGGTTGGTGACAGTCAGCAGTTGACTGGTCAGAGAACGGAGGCTCGGACGGGCCATTCAAATCTGCTTTCTATTCCCAGTTCAGTGTTTTTCAACGAGATCACCCCCAAAAGCTGTGCCACATTCCTCCTCCACGTCTCAATGAAGAAAACAAACTCTCCCCAAACTTTCTGCGGGAGCCGTTTCTGGGAGCTGAGGGGACGTACATGTGGGGTCTGGGGAACCATCTGTATAAAACCCTGAGTGCAGCCCTGGCTGGTCTGGCTCAGCGGTTAGAGCGTCGGCCCGCGGACCAATGAGTCACGGGTTCGATTCCGGCCAAGGGCATGTACCTCAGTTGCAATTCTTTCCCGGCCCTGGTTGGGGTCCTGCAAGAGGCAACCACTTAATGTCCCTTTCATGTCAATGTCTCTCTCTCTCTCCCTCTCTCCCCCTCCCACTCTATCTGAACAAAAGCGGAAAAAATGTCCTCAGTGAGGATGAAAAACAAAAACAAAATAAAACCCTGAGGGGAGAACGTCACCCAAACTTCAAATGCCGTACGTACCCACCCCCATGATCGCAACCCGCCTGAGGGTGGCATTGCCCTGACCATGATTGCTCTGTGCGCACAGACAGGTCTATGACACTGTCACAGGAAGCATAGTTTAGACAACATCGTGTGCAAGAAGCTAGTCTGGGTCAAAATAATGTTGTTAGAGATACTAGTTTTATATGAAACTACACCTTTAAAGACAGAAGATTTGCCGGGCAAGTGTGGCTCAGTGGTTGAGCGTCGACCCTGCACCAAGAGGTCGCCAGTTCGATTCCCGGTCAGGACACATGCCCAGGCTGTGGGCCTGATCCCCAGTGGGGGGCGTGCAGGAAGCGGCCAATAGATGTTCTCTCTCATCAATGTTTTTCTCTCTCTCTCTCTAAAATTAATAAAGAAAAAATATTTTTAAAAACATGTTTTAAAAAAATAATAAAGACAGAAGCTTTAAAAACGATACCCTTGTGTAAAATAAAATGGATCCACCAGAACCCACTCGTTCTAATACCTTCCCCGCGGTGGTCCAGCTCTGCCATCCCCGTTCTGTGGACCACGAGAGGGGGCCTGTGCCCTTCTGCAGGGCCCCCCCTGGGTGCATCAGTGCCGACTGAACATCTTATGCTCGACAACGTGTGACTCGTCTCCTTGGACAAAACACCCCAACTGGAGTGGCTTCTGCTGCAAGGTGCAAAAACTCCCATGTTGGGGGTCGGTTTCCCATCTCCAACTCCCCGAGCGCAGAACGCGCTCCGCCCCACTTGCGGAGGGGGGAGTAGATTCCTTCGGGAGGCACAGTTCACCCAAACTTCCAGCTGTACGGCTCACAGCCCAAGCGACAGCCTCACATCAACATTCTCTTTACTGTCCTCAGGGTCTACTTCCCACGGGTGAGATTAAATGTTTAGGTGCCAAGAGCCAACGTGCAGAGTTTAACTTCGGTCACGACAATAAGAGTATCTGGACGTAGTGCCACAAGAAAGAAATGCTGGGAGCCATTCGCAATGATCACCTTCCCCACACACGGTCCGGGGCAGGGTCCCAGGGACCCGGGCCCACGGCAGATGGACCCGAAATGCCCTTCAGGCTGGAGCCATGCTGTCCACCAATAAAATGCTCTATTTCTGAAAGGTCTGCACATAGAGAGCAGTTCATTCAAATCTTATAGTGGCCCTGGCCAGTTTGGCTCAGCGGTTAGAGCATCGGCCTGCGGTCCAGAGAGACCGGGGTTCGGTTCCCGCTAAGGGCATGTACCTCGGTTGCAGTTTGTCCCCGGCCCTGGTTGGTCGTGCGGGTGGCAGCCACTCGATGTGTCCCTTTCACGTCGATGCTTCTCTCTCTCTCCTCTCTCTCTCTCTCCCTCCCACTCTACCTGAACAAAAAATGGAAAAATGTCCTCGGGTGAGGATTAAAAAAAACCACAAATCTTATAGTGAATTTAACTCTATGACAAGTAACTTTTTCCTAAAGACGCAATCATTTAGATTCTGCTAAAGTAGGCAGTCTGCTGATGTCCTATGATTTCTTTTTGAAAAGCCTTCAGAAAGAGAAAACTGTATTGATTTTTTTTTTTCCTTATAAGGTTAGTCTATGATTTCTTATGAGCACATGCAAATAAAAATGACTCTTTAATATGCAATCTTAATCCGGTTACTGCGTAGGCATGTTACCTAGAACTAGCTTCACACAGGTGTGAGGCATTTCTATGCCCAGGGGCACACTGTTGAAAACCATCTCTAGGAGTGTGAAACGCCACAAAAAGGAAGTTTTAAGACTAAAAAAGATAATCCTGGCCGGTGTGGCTCAGCGGTTAGAGCGTCAGCCTGCAGTCTGGAGAGACCCGGGTTCGGTTCCCGCTGGGGGCACCTACCTCGGTTGCAGTTTGTCCCCGGCCCTGGTTGGGTCGTGCGGGTGGCAACCACTCGATGTGTCCCTTTCACGTCGATGTTTCTCTCTCTCTCTTCCTCTCTCTCCTTCCCACTCTGTCTGAATAAAATATCAAAAAATGTCCTCGGGTGAGGATAAAAGAAAAAAAAGACTAAAAAGATAAACAGTCTTTCTGTAAAAGTCCCAACTCAATAAAATCCCCACACCTTTTAAGGCTTGAATCAATTCAAAACCCTTACAGGTTGTCAAGTACAGCGACAGAGCCTGGTGCACTCTTTGGGGACATCAAAAAGGAGGGGGAGGTTTCCCTCAAGAGTGGCCTCCCCCCACCTGAAAATAAGCCAAGGCCTGTGTGTGTGGATACATTACGAAATCAGATGCCACTTGAAACAAACCCTTCATCAAAACCAGTGCCCGTCATCATCGTCCCCCTGATTGTCTAGGTAGAGGACAGCGACTTTCTTTTCGTCCGAGATCACAGACCTCTGGTCCACCATCCTCTGCAGCTGCGCCGTCTTATCAAACTCAGCCTGCCCCTGGCCCCGAAAGCTCACACCGGCTGCCTGGTCATCCCTACGGTCAGCTTCTGCCTCTGGCCCTGCGGGGACGAGGACTGTGGCCTCTTGGGTCCAGCTGGGAGTCGCCGCTATGTGACTCGGGTCCATCTGAAAGGTAAACGGAGTTTCTTTGGGCCCCATGCGCGGTGCGCTGGTGTTCGGCCTGCCGACTCGCCTAGCTCAGGGGAGACCTGAACCAGCGAGGGCCAGTGTCTTGGGAATGGCCCAGGGAAGACGGCAGGTTCAGAGGTTGGGGGGTCTGCAAGGCCTAGCTGGATGTGCCTACAGGACCTGCTCATGCCCATCGTCACTTCTGCCCAGGATGGGTCGTATCCTGGGGAGATTCGGAAACAGCCCCTCGGGAGGCGCGCTTCTCAGTCATCAAGACTCTCCCGCCCACAGGGTAGCTGCCAGAGGCCTGGGTCCCGCTGCGGAGCCCTCTCCATGGGCACGGCGATCTGACTCCCTAAATTCCCTAGGTTGGGGAACCGTCTGCTGGGTGGTTTGAAGCCTCCGCGAGCGGACTGTGACTTGCCGGAGGGATGCGTTCCCTGACCCTGCAGAAGCTGCTTTGACACCCAACGCCACTGTGGCCGAAAGGGGGACTGTGGCTGGGACGTGCTCACTGAACCCTTCTCTAGGGCCTAACTGAAGGTACTTCACAGAAGCCTGGGTACCCACTGACCCCTCTGTTTGGAAATAGTCACCAGCCTCCCCTGCCCCAGAAACGGGGCCCTGAAAATGCCTCTCTCTCTGAGCATGAAACTGGCTGGAGCCAAATGCACTGCGGGCCCCCGATTCGTGGGGATCAGCGGAGAGCTCTGTGGGGCCAGGTTCCCCTGCCCCCCCTGCCTCCTGACAGGCCGGGACAGGCCCTCGAAGAGTTCCTCGCACCGGTGACTTTGATCGGGACCTAACGTGCAGAGCCTCGCAGACAGCGGCCCCCTCCGAGCGGGCTGCCTGGCTCAGGCCGCCCTCCCCACTTACCTCTCCGGCGGCGGGTCCTTCGGACGGGGCTCGCTCGGTCCTCCAAATTCCAGCGGGGCCTATTTCAACGCGTCTTACAGACTGGCTCACGTGTTCTAGCACCTGCGTCTGGGCAAAGCCCCTCGGGCTGGTGACCTCCACGGTGGCCGACACCGGGCCCTGAGACGTGGCCCTCTGGATGGTGCGAGAGGCCCAGGTGCTGTCATCTCCCTCCACGGAGGAGCTGTAGAGTTCCTGGGTGGCCCAGCGCTTGAAGCCAAAGCCGGTCCCCGGGGCTGCCCCTCCAGTGTCCCTGTCTGGGCTTCCAGGCCCTGGGCTGTGTCGCTTGGTCAAACTGTCCCGCACCACGGACTCCACAACCTTCTCTATTTCACCTGCTTCGTCTCTGCTCAGCTCCTCCAGGTCTAACTGGTCCGTGTCCACGGTCTGTGAGAGGTTGACTTCCGCCACCAGGGTCATGGACCCCCCGCCTGAGGTCTGGACTTTCTTCACATCGACGGAGAGGTGCCCCAGGCCGCCCTGGCCCTCCGTGGTGAGGGCGGACAGCTCCTCCTTCACCCTCGCCGGGAGGTTTTCCTCCAACTGGCTGATCACCTCCACCAGCTGGTGTCTGGGCTCCTTGAAGTCTCTGTTAATAGACGTGTGGAACTCGTGCGGTATTTTAATCTCCTTGTCAATGACGGTGGCTTCGGCGTGAAATTCGCCACTTGTCGTTTCTTCTATCCAGTGTGGAGAGCCCAGGCTCCCCTCCCCGGGTTCTAGAACGTCTGGTGGCTCCATGACCGTCTCTCCCGAGGACGTGTCCCTTGCTAATCTTCTCCGAGACGCCGGCACGATTTCATCTTGCCAGGAGTACCGGATGGTAGATTCCTCCTCGATGTGGATCTGCCCGTACACGGAGCCCTCCTCCTGGTCCTGCCCGGGGGCCTGCTCGTCAGGGGTCGACACGAAATAACTCTGCTCGCCCTCCCAGTCACCTGCCTCCATCACTTCTTCCACGTGAGCCACGTGCTCGAGGGGCAGCCTGGTCTTCTGATGCTGATTCACTGAGAAGCTGACCTCTGTTTCTCCAGAACCTTCCCCAACAGGCCCCCTGGAGCCTGGAGACATGTCGTCGGCCTCCTCCACCCGGAACGGGGTGGAGAACTCGTCTGCCTCCTCGCCCCCGACGTAGCTCACGGGCTCCTCCACCATCTCCACCTTAACCACCCTCGCCCTCCTGTCCCTCCCCTTCAGCCCCAGATTGATGATGTCTCCTATCATCTGCTCGGTGGACTGTCCCCTCCGCTCCACCTTACCCTGCGCATCCCTGCTCAGGAGGTAGTCCAGGCCCGTGCCGTCTGCCACGTCCACCTCCTCGGTCAGCTTCGACTCCAGCACGATCTCAGTCTTCGTTCTCTTGTCACCAGGCAGCTCCGTCCTGCCCACGTAAGTGACTTTTGTGTCCGGGAAGGAGTCGGCGGATGCTTCTGCCTCGGGAGACTGAGTGAACCGCTTCAGGACACTGGACACGATGCTTTCGGCTATGGTTTCGGTCACGGCGTCGTCTTGCAGCGTACCCGTGGTATCCCTGGTGTCCAACCGGAACTTCGTCTCTCTCGTGTCCACCCCTCTGCCTGGACCACCACCTGCATCCTTTTTCAGGGGAGTCGGGACACCTTTTGGGGTCCCCTCTGCTCTGCTGTCCCGGGATACTTCTAGACGGATGGGTATGTCTCTTTCGGCTATGGTTTTGGTCTTGGTGTCACCTTGCAGTGTACCCGTGATGTCTCTGGTGTCCAATCTGAACCTCATCTCTCTCATGTCCACCTCTCTACCTGGACCATCACCTGCATCCTTTTCCAGGGGAGTTGGGACACCTTTTGGGGTCCCCTCTGCTCTGCTGTCCCGAGATACTTCTAGACGGATGGGTATGTCTCTCTCTCTCACGCGTCTCTCCTTCGACGACTCCTTCCCCGCCGCCTTGTCCCTCTGCTCGCTCTCTCTCTGTCTCGCTTCTTTATCCAGCTTGGTCAGCTCTTCCCACCGCAAGTTCCTCTCCTCCGAAGCCCTCTCCTTGGAATCGAACATTTTCTCTTCGCGCCTTGTTTGGACGGTCTCTGCTCTGCTCCTCCCCTGCTCCCTCGTGGCTCGAGTTTCTGTCTTCTTCCCCAACACGACGGTCCTCTCATTTGACCAGGTGCTTTGGGGCGTCCCCACCGCGTCATTGTCCCCGCGTTCTCGGCGTGACTCCTGGGCAAGGGTGGCCTCTCTGGCGACACCAGCCTTTGGCCCTTCAGTGTTTGGTCTATTCAAGAATGTGTGCACCGGAACGTCAGCATTTCTCGAGAGGCCGTACATCGGGGAGAAAGTTCTGAGGTTGGCTTGGCTGTTGGCTGTTTTCTCCAGGAAGGACTCCTGCCTGGGGGTGATAAGGGGAGGGTACCCTGAGCCCAGGAAGTGTCTTCTGGGAGCGTTTCCAATGGCCGTCTGTGACACGGACTGTGCCCAACTCCGACGGGAGCTCCTTGGAGGCGCCTTGTGCCTCAGAAACAGATTTCTTTCATTTTCCCTCTGTAACGCCGCGTTGGTGTATTGATAGGAGATGTTTCTGAACTCTGTAGGAATTGAACAGTCCATTAAAACGAGAGTCATCGTCACCTTTTTTTTTTTTCATCTTAAAAGCATCCCCGCAGGTCAATCCCGTCCCGTCATAATAAATACCTACTGTCACCACCAGCCGGCCATCATAAATAAAATATTTGCGATCTCCAAATCATCATGTGACAAAGTACTGCCGATGCTTCCGCACAACACTCCAGCTGCCGGTGTTAAAATACGCACCGGTCTTCACAAATCTATCCGACGTGCGAGCATAAAGCATGACGCATGCGCCAGAGAGGTCGGGGTGCTAGTCTTCGCGACTGAAATGTCACCATATTGTGACAGTTTGGAATCGCTCATTTCTTTTTTTTTTTTTTTTTATCCTCACCCGAGGATATTTTTCCATTTTTTTGTACAGATAGAGTGGGAGGGAAAGAGAGGAAGGGAGAGAGAGAGACAGAAACATCGACATGAAAGGAACACATCGAGTGGCCGCCACCCGCACGACCAACCAGGGCCGGGGACAAACTGCAACCGAAGTACATGCCCTTAGCGGGAACCGAACCCGGGTCTCTCCGGACCACAGGCCGACGCTCTAACCGCTGAGCCAAACCGGCCAGGGCTGGAATCGCTCATTTCTACGCTGTCGAGCTCACGTGTACCCGGACGGCAGAGAAGAGCTTCAGCGTTACAAAGGACGTAATGACTGAACACTAAATGGAATTACCTCCACCAGTTAACATGCTCTTCTTCTCCATTGATTTCTGTGCTGGGCCAACAAGTACTGAAGAATTTAATTTGTTTTTGTTTTTTTCAAACATCTCGTTTGAAAAGGTGCCAGAACAGAAAGTGAACCAGTGATCAACATTACAATCGGTTTTAATGTCACGATCTGGGGTTGGGGGGCTGTCCACGGGGCTCCCTGCGCTGCTCTGGGCCGTCCGCAGACAGTGCTATTCCTGGGGTGTCCAAACTCCACCAGGCTCCCCGCTCTTAGGAACGGCAGCCGGTGGTTAGAATGTGGCCGGTGCACCATCCACCCTGAGAGTGCCCCCTTGTGCTACCTACCCTCCTCCTGCCCATCTGGGTAGAGCCTTCTCTCCCCCCTGGTCTCCATGGCAGCCAAGTCTGGGGACCTCTTTAGGACAGACCCAGCATACAGGAGAGAAACCAGGTGAGGGCATTTTCTACGAAGGTTCCTCTTTCAGGGTCAATATACGGATTCTAAATGGAGAAGTCCCAGAAGATGAAACCCAGGAAATTATACAGGAGCTGCCTGGTTTTTAATAAAGGTTCAACAGGAACGTTACGAGATCACAGGCTAACTTCAGGCCTCTCCCCTCGTGGGCACTATTACGAAGGAAACATAAGTGCAGCCGCAAGCATCGCTGAACCCACGCGCAGGAACGCATCCGGGTGCTTACTCAGCGAGCAGTCAATGGGCGCTACTGTCCAGGGCACAGGCTATTTGGAACTTCGAAGCCTACTAACAGGGCTCCCAAATGATCCTCTTTATTCTAATACTTACATCTTTTTGCCGTGATACATGACTGCTCAAATAAATTTAGTTTGCAAATACTGTCTCCAGAAGCTTGAAAAACAATGGGTGAATGAATCAAGTGAACAGGTCCCAGATGCCCCTCTTCCTGAGCTCTTCCAACAGGCTCCAAAATCATAGCTAGTAAATGACCACTGAGCCCCGGACCTAACCTGTTGACTCTCCAAGTCTGGGTCTAACCCTTGTTTTCCCCTCCCCTTTCTTTCTAAGATATGGGATGTATTTCCAGGCTTATGTATCCACAGGTTAAAACTAGGTGACCAAGTAAACCTTGAAATCTGCTGAATGAATAATTCTTATTCTATTTTTCTTATTTTTTTTTTTTAAATTTATTGATCCTAGAGAGAGAGGAAGGGAGAGAGAGATAGAAACATCGATGAGAGAGAACATTGACTGGCCGCCTCCTGCATGCCCCCCACTGGGGATTTGGCCCACAACCTGGGCATGTGGCCCTGACCGGGAATCGAACTGGCGACCTCTTGGTGCGTGGGTTGACCTCAACCACTGAGCCACAGCAGCCGGGCAATAATTCTTATTTTATAGATGTCATATGTGAACTGATGGCAGGCAAACTGATTAACGGCCACTACTGTGGACATCTTTGCTTTTTCCAAACTTATTCTCAAAACTAGAAGGCAAGCTTGCTGGACCTTGTCTAACAAACCCCTTCCAGGCATAGGTACTTAGAACCAAAATTATTGTTCTGAACCCAGTAACTTGTTAAATCTGTGAAGTCCCTAACAGGGACAGTGCTGTTTTGTTTTTGTTTTTTTTAAAAAAGGTGGGTCCTGGCCGGTATGGCTCAGTGGTTGGAGCATCGGCCCACACACTGAAGGGTCTGGGGTTTGATCTCGGTCAAGGGCACGTACCTGGGTTGCAGGTTCAATTCCCAGCCCTGGTCGGGGCACATGCGGGAAGCAACCAATTGATGTGTCTCTCACATCAATGTTTCTCTCTCCCTCCACCTCTACCTCCCTTCCACGCTCTCTAAAAATCAATGGAAAAACTATCCTTGAGTATTATTTAAAAAGTAAAAGCCCTGGCTGGTTTGGCTCAGCGGTTAGAGAGTCGGCCTGCGATCCAGAGAGACCCGGGTTCAGTTCCCGCTAAGGGCATGTATCTTGGTTGCAGTTTGTCCCCGGCCCTGGTTGGGTCTGCGGGAGGCAGCCGCTCGATGTGTCCCTTTCACGTCGATGTTTCTCTCTCTCTCTCTCTCTCTCTTCCTCTCTCTCCCTCCTGCTCTATTTGAATAAAAAAATGGAAAAATGTCCTCTGGTGAGGATAAAAAAAAAAAGTAAAATAAAGATGGAAAGTGTTATTTTTAAAAATATTCTCCTGCTAGGGGGACCAGATACAGGTATCCCCCATTTGCCATGACTGTGACGATGGCCATGCACACGGAGACCGAAACTGCACTGAGTAAGGTGTACGTCGAACACAAGCACTCCATCTGCCCTTGCTTAGCCAGAAAGCGCTTTAAGATTCTATCAGCTTATTTTTTTTTTTTTATCCTCACCCGAGGACATTTTTCCATTTTTTGTTCCGATAGAATGGGGAGGGAGGGAGAGGAAGAGAGAGAGAGAAACATGGACGTGAAAGGGACACATCGAGTGGCTGCCACCCGCACGACCAACCAGGGCCAGGGACAAACTGCAACCAAAGTACGTGCCCTTAGCAGGAACCGAACCCGGGTCTCTCTGGACCACAGGCCGACGCTCTAACCGCTGAGCCAAACTGGCCAGGGCTCTATTGGCTTCTTTAAAAAGCTATCCTACTGGTTTTTAGGGTCTTTCTAATGAACACTAACGTTCTTGCAGAAAGTACAGGCTTTGTTCTGCAGCTTTTGGCCTGAACCAAGACAGACCGTAGGGTACCCGGTGACACCTGCCACACTCATCAACCTGAGCCTACACCAACCTGGGAGGTGGAAACAGGGTAATTATCCTCCCGTCTCCGCCCCTGGTGGGGTAGAGTGCTGGCTGCCTGCAGCACACAGGTGTACCCCCCTCGACTTGCCCACACGTTCTCATTTACGTTATTCTTTCCACTATGGTCACTGAATAAACTCTGGCACTTACGAGAGGGGTGGACGAGGGTTATCTGAAAAATCACATCTCACCCCAGTTCTTCCAGAGAGGCGATGCTTTACCACGTGTCTGCGGAGTGAACCTGCCCGGATGGAATACATGGGAAGGGTCAATAACTCGCTTTTCGTGTATTTACCTTGTGGCAGGTTTTCAAGGCGCTCGGTCAAGATCAGTATCTCTGGGTTACTTTCTCCTTCCAATAAGGCTCTGTAGGAACGATAAGAGAAGAAACTCATTAGGAGATAAAGAGCAGGAAGGGCCTCTCGAAGCTGTGGAGTGAGTTCCAGGGCTCGTGTCTCAAGAGGCTGCACCCCGGGGGCGCGGCCCTGCGTGGTTGAGCCTCCATCCCCCCGAATGCACAAAATAAGGGTCTAGGGCTGTAGAACCTATTGGAGAGCCCTTCTACAAAGCCCTTCCAAACCCAGGGCCTGAAGGAAGAGACCGAGATGTGGGCCCAGGAGGGAAGGTCGGGGTCTGGATTCTCCGGGAAGCGAGGCGGGGACCACGCATGGCGTGTCACCCTGGGCTTGAGAACCCCCAAACAATGAAAACCCCCATTCCGGTCATTCCGGGGTCATGGATCAGGGAGTGGCCAGGAGCGGAGCAAGGACTGACACACGGTCAATAGGCAGCCACTACATTTGTGGTTTTCAAACTGGGTTCCCAGGGGTATAATGGAGATTAGAACAAGAGAGAGAGGAGAGATGGGAGTCAGGCAGGAGAACAGAGGACAAGAAAGTGCAGACCACTCTCCTCCTCCCAGCCCACCCCAGGGCCTTCCTGCCATCCAGAGAAGCATCTTCTTTGGTCCTTTAATAAAACAGGAAAAGCACTTGACGGGTGGTTCCTTTGGCCACACTTAGCTCGGAGGGACTAAACCTGTAGCATCTTCATTGAGCTGTGATTCCGTCTACAACTCAGAGCCCTGAGGACGCAGTGACCGCATCGGTTTGGGGCCGGGGGACCAGCGCGCCGGGCGGGTCAGCACCGGGAGGTCCCCCTGCTCGTGGAAACCCTGGGATGCTGGCTGCTGCACACACAACAGTTGTCGGGTTGCTAGAGCAACGTGTGAAGTCACTAACTTCACTTCCAAGAAGTACACTGTACATGGCAAAGGGCAACCGTGCTGCCGTTACCACGGAGAGCTGGGCACGGAAACAGAGGAGGGCGCCAGAGCCGGGCAGGGGCTCTGCGCGTCAGGCAAACTGGCACAAGATCCATGCCCACTGATCCAAAGGCGGTGACTCCCACGGATGCGGGAACCCTGTGCCTGGAGGGAAGACAGCAAAGGAGAACGCTTTCTGATGACAACAGCAAAGAAAATGGCGAGACGGGTTCCACTCAGGTGCGTGTGGATGGGTTTGCCAGGGGTGCAGTGACGGATGGGCACACGTGTGCAGATACCAGGCGATGAGCGGCCGTGCCCAGGGCCCCAGCCGTTCCACTCGGGGTGAAAGCCAGGAAACAGGACACCAGCCCTCTCTAATCCCACACCCTCATGACCATGCATTTCAGGTTCCAGGACCACAAATAGCATCCATCGCCGAGAAAATTCTGAGGTCTGCATATAATAAAGGAGCATTCGGGGTAACAGTGAGACTGTGGGTGGGCGCCCGAGGATGCCAGCCACAGAAGAGGGGGCACCTATAGGGAAGGGGCCAGGGTGGGGCTCTAGTGCAGACCTGGTCTCACCTGCTCAGCAGGAAGCCTCAGGTACCGGGGGGCTGGTGGCTGGAGCTGCCCACGTGGGGACAGAGAGTGTTGGGGAGCACAGGTCAGCAGACAGATCAGTGACAGGGGTGTGGAGAGATGTTCAAGATAAAGAAGATCTCCTGAGGGAGAAATAGCTTCCCTCACCCCTCAAAGGGGAAGAATTTTGTTTCAGGGAAAATCCAAACCATCACCAAACTTCTACTGCTCTGGCCCTGAGAAGGGGGCTGTTGTACACGGGAGGGAACACATGCCCTGTGGGCGTGTGCTCGGGTGCAGGTCACAGGCACAGCACAAGCACCCGGTGCCCGGGCCTGTACGAGGCCTGGCTCAGACTGAGCACCAAACACTCTGGAACCCTGCTGTCTGTTACCCACAAAGCCCTCCCACCGGTGGGGCCGGTGCTGCATCCTGGCTCTGCAGCTGAAGAGACCAGGGCACAGGGACAGGGTCGCGGCCAACGGCACAGGGCGCCTGGGTGCTCACCCCCTCCCTTGCGAGGCCAGAGACGGCGGTATTTCCTACCAGTGTCAGAAAGAACAAATCCTGCAGACGGCCCCTCCGGACCACGTGAACAAAGGCATATACGCATCTTTTGGTGATTTTAATCAAAAGCCCCTCCAGGGTTGTCCTGCTGGGGAAGGGCTCAGTCACACAGCTGCGTCCCTCTCTCGATGGCTGGTGCAGGTATGTGTCACTGTCTGCACCTGAGCACCCCCCCGGGGCCTCTCTGGGCACCGGCAGGCACTGGCCACTGATCTCATGCCTTGATTAACACACACCTTCACGACACACACCGAACCCTACCCTCCACCATCGAAGCTCACAAGAGGCGCATACAAACCCACGATGACAGACCAGAAGGGCACGATTTCCCCAAGCCCCCAAGGGACCATTTTTAAGGCAGAGACTCGTACAGCTTTAAGACGTGGGCAGAGTGTCCTCCGGTTATTTTGAGGCTAGAAAGCGGCCTCCAGGCCCTGGCGACCGAGATGCCAACCCCCTGACTCACCGGCTATTAATGAACATTTCATGCAGCCCTGCAGGTCGGCAGCCTCCCGAGCAGGAAAATGATCGAACACGAGTGGGAAAACCGAGTCTCCGGCCTCGTTAAGGAGCCGGGACAGACCCACCGAGCGGCAGTGAGCTACACTGTGGCCGCTGGCCAGGCTCCAGGCCCTAACAGACCAGCCGTCGTCCTGACCTCGGGCAGCGGGCTCTCAGTGGGGACGGGTCATCCTGATGGCATTTCAGGGCATGTCCGCTGTAACCCTGCACGGTGGGCACACTGCCGCCCCCCTAGATGTCCCCAAGAGACAAGGACAAGATTGAGGGGGGGGAGGAAGTCAGAGGATGTTTCCCAAAGTGATGCCATTGCGGGGGCGGGCGCCGCCGCTGTGGTCCTGGGGTCCACGTTCACATGGTACCTTCCTGTCTAACTAAGGGCAGATGGGAGCCAAGGGAGGGAAAAAAGAGGGAGCTGGATGCAGGGGCCTCAGACCTGCCTCCCTGGCCTCCAAGTTCCAGACAGCGTAGGGGCACTGCCTATGAGCCCAGATCTGGGGCTGGGCACGGGAGGGGGAAGGGAGGAGAGAGGGGCAGAATTCCATCCACAGGAGGGGTGTCACCATCCCCATCAGAATGAGCCTGTCCCCAAGCAGAGGTGTCCTGTGAAAGCCAAGCGTGAGGGCTGAGAGCCATGCCCTTCGGGTCACTCCCTCTGCGCGGAGTGTAAAGTCACACATAAAGCCCGCCTGTCAGTTCCAGAGACCACAACAGTCAAACGCTGGACAGACAGACCAAGATCCCTAATAAAACACGGAATCCCAGGGCGTGGCTAATGGAAACCACTGGAATCGGGTGGCCCAGGTTTAAATGCTGGGCCTGCCACTACCGAGTCCTGCGACCTTGGGCAAAGCTGCTCAAGGCCTCCATGACTCGGTTTCCCCATTTCTGAAACGGGGGCAGGCACCGGTTTGGTAATGAGGTAGTTGGAAACTTCTTACAACAATGGCTGTCACTGAGTAAGTGCTTGATACGCGTCAGCTATCTATTATCATCAACATCTCTTCCACCGAGCTCAGAAAACAGCTGATTTTTAGTTCACTAAAGTCCTTCTGGAAGAGCAGCGATTCTGGTGAACTGAAGTTCGGTTCATCTACACCGCAATGGGGGAAAGGCAAGCAAACACACGTATACGCTGATCCCCCTAACCATCCATCCTTCAAACGACATTTTTTTTTTACCCTCACCCGAGGACATTTTTTGCTCAGATAGAGTGGGAGGGAGAAAGAGGAAGAGAGAGAGAGAGAAAAAAACATCGATGTGAAAGGGACACATCGAGTGGCTGTCACCTGCACGACCAACCAGGGACAACCAAACCGCACCCGAGGTCTCTCTAGACTGCAGGCCGATGCTCTAACCGCTGAGCAAAACCGACCAGGGCCAAACGACATTTTCATTTCAAATATTTCACCTAATAACCAAGAAAGACTCAGTACCACCACACTTCTGTAAGTTCTCAGAAAAATAAAATTCAATTAAAAAAACAACAACATGTATTTTTCCCAAGACCTTGAGAACTTCCAAAGGAACGGTTTCCTTTGGACACACGACAAGGCACAGGTGATCTAAGGAATACAGCAACCAGAGACACCATTGAAATGGTGAGATTTCCAATGTGAGGAGAGATCTGTGCTGCCTCATTAGAAGTTTACACCTAGAGACAAGATTTTCCTTGGTTAAAACACACTATTGCCCCGGCCGGTGTGGCTCAGTTGGTTGAGCGTTGTTCCAGGCACCAAAGGTCACAGGTTTGATTCCTGGTCAGGGCACATGCCGGGGCGTGGGCTTGATCCCCAGTATCGGGCGTGCAGGATGTTTCTCTCTCTTCCTTCCTTTCTAAAATCAATAAAAACATATTTTTAAAACACACAGGAGGAGACAGGAAGTCCTTGTGCCTCCCCCTCCCAGACAGACGAAGAACATGTTCTATACTGTTTCCAGATTCACCTTCTTTTTTTTAAACCCTCACCTGAGGACACTTTTGCATTCATCCTCAGATAGAGCAGGAGGGAGAGATGGAGGAAGGGAGAGAGAGAAACATCGACGTGAGAGAGACACATTGAGTGGCTGCCACCCACGCAACCCAAACCGAAACCGTGGACAAACTGCAACCGAGGTACGTGCCCTTAGTGGGAACCAAACCCGGATCTCTCTGGACCACGGACCGATGCTCTAACCGCTGAGCCAAACTGACCAGGGCCAGCCTCACCTTTTAAAAAAAAATCCTCACCAGAGGATATTTTTCCATTTATTTTCAGATAAAGTGGAATGAGTGAGGGAGAGGGAGAGAGAAACATCAATGTGACAGAGACACATCGACTGGTTGTCCCCCACACGACCCTGACCAGGACTGGGGACAAACCACAACCAAGGTACATGCCCTTGGTCGGAATCAAACCCAAGACTCTTTGGTCCGCAGGCTGATGCTCCAACTGCTGAGCCAAACCGGCCAGGGCCAGCCTCACCTTTTAAAAGGACTTTTGCCTTGGGGACCCCAGACAGTACATCTTTACGTTTCCTTTTCCCCTCTGGCCAGGCAAGAGTCCCTTCGAAATGTTTCCTTCGAAGGGCCTCTGGCCCTGCCTTCCACTTTGTTCGGGTGAAACCGAGAACAACTGTTCTACCCCTCACCCCCAAAACATTAAAAACAAAGCCTCTTTTTAATGTCGATGAAGATTCCATCATCTGTGGCCCGGGTCAGAGTCCAGGGTTGGCCTCTTCTTACTCAGTTCTGTGGTTTCTGGACTCAGATGATTCCTGGGTAGTTTTGCTTGTTTTTGTTTCCATTTTAAAGCTCTTTTTTCCCCGTTGTATTTCCTAACTGCTCATTCCGTGCCGACTGGGTTTCTGTTCGCTTTTGGGGGGAGAGAGGGGGGCTATTTTCTTTTGCTTTTTTTTTCCAACTGTAACTGAAAATGTTTTAATTTTTTAAATACAAAGTATAGAAATTGAGTATAATGTCGTTTGTGCTCTTATATATCTTTTTTTAAATTTTAATTTATTTTTGTTACAGATGTTTTTCTTTTTTCCCCCCCGAAACCCTCCTCCCTATCCCGTCCTCCCAAGCATTGTTGTCTAGGAGCTATTTATTTTCTTTCTTTCTTTTTTTTTTCTTCATCCTCATCCAAGGACATTTTTCCATTTTTGTTCAGATAGAGCGGGAGGGAGAGAGAGGAACAGAGAGAGAAACGTCGATGTGAAAGGGACACATCGAGTGGCTGCCTCCCACACAACCCCAACCAGGGCCGGGGACGAACCGCAACCGAGGGACATGCCCTTGACCAGAATCGAACCCGCAACTCATTGGTCCGCGGGCCGACGCTCTAACCGCTGAGCCACACCGGCCAGGGCTAGGGGCTATTTATTTTCGAACTGTGCTGCTACAAATTCTCAAGCTTTGGGGCCAGATCTTTGATCAGCAGTGGGAGGGGTTTGGGGACACTGCACACTCTGGATTAGTTCCACCATCTTCAGATTATCAGCTAACTGGGACTAAGCAGCTACTTCACAGAGAACTTTCGGGACGGGTTGGTCTAGTCAGCAAGGGCATGTAATGGGCACACACTTTGAAACATTCCTACCGGAAACCTCCCGCACCCCTCATTGCTCCTACCAACCAGGCTCGCCTGGCTACCGATGTCAGGTCCTCATCACCTGAATCTCCAACAACAGCAAGGACCTCCTGACGCCCCTGCACCTGCCCACAGACACGTACCCCTCATTGTCCTTCCCAGCCAGGTGAGGCACCAGGGCCTTCCTGGGCCACCAACTGGCCACCTAGGGTTGCTGAAATCCTCACGTCTTAGACTCCAAGGTTTGCTATTTTTTTTTTCTTAAAGTATTATTCTAGTACATATTTACTTATGAACTATAGTCTATAACGATGACTTATAAATGGCATTATTTTATCTTACTTGAATGTTTCTTCTTCACTGTGAAGGTTACCAGGAAGGGCTAGATATCAGGGTTCAGAAGTGTTCAGGACACTCGAGGGCCGGCCTTGGCATAGCTGACAAATTCCAGCTTTAAAGGGGCCACAGCCCTTACACATGACCTGTCAACTGAGCAGTGCCGGGGGAGTGGCCACCGCAGAGGAACCTGGGACAGAGGGAAGCGATGCCAGCTCAGCCGCCGCCCCCCTCCGCCTCTCTGGACAGGGCTGGTGAGGAGTTGCACTGCACGGGCCCCTGGACTGTGTCCCCAGGGGGCTGACTGTCCCTGCCGCCCTCAGTAAGGCAAGGTGTGCGAGGAAAGTCAACTTCCTCAGAGACGGGGGTCAAGGTGTGCAAAGACCCAGTGAAGCACAGGAGGGCACTAACACAACCACGAACACGCATGCCCGGCATCGGAATTTGGGGCATCGGCGCAGAACACTGGGAGTCACACAAGAGATGAGAGGACACACCCATCAGTGGTAAAAACACCAGGGTGCAGGCTCACAAGAGGAAACGGGCTGTATTCAACCGCCTGTTCAGCTTCTGGAGCCTGAGCCCTGGGGGACAGGAGGTCACAGCCGTTCTTAACACTGAGGCTGTGTCTGCAGCGGGCAGGGCCGGGCGTGTACGGTTCCGGGCCGGGCTCTTTCTTTGCTCCGTGCAAAACTGGACTTCAGAAAGACGTACAATGCAATCAATCACTCGTTTCCCGGAACGTACTGATGCCTCCTACATTCGTAGGAGGTGGCCAACTCCATCCCAAATTGGGTTAGGGAAAAACACAGAGGGAGTACACGCTGTCCCTGCTGACAGTCAGACTAGTGATGGGGCCCACGGGCAAAGCTACGCTGGTAGGGATGTGGTCACCTACCAAAAAGGTAAGGCCCTGGCCTCTCAGGCAAGATGCCCACCTGTGCCCTCTGACTTTTCACGACAGAGAACTAGGGACCAGGACACAGTGAGGAAGGAAAGGGCTGAAAATCCCAGAGACAGAGCACAAAATCGGAGTTTCCTTAGTCCAACCCAGAAGACGGTCACAGAGAAAAACCGGGAGGATCCCACTGCCCCTGTAGGGAGGAGACTTGCCTGGCATCGGGCGTTACCTAACACAGGCACAGATGCGGGTATTGTGGGCTGAGCCAGCATCTGCCCTCGCACGGTGCCAGGGTTGGGGGACCTCCCACTTCAGTCTAAATCTGGATGACTCATGGGAGGCTGACCCCTTCCAAGCTCTACAGTGCTTTGTCCCCTAGCCAGGGTTGGGCACATGCCCTGGTACAGTCTGAAAGCTGGGCCCTGGGGTTCTGTCGGGATGGCTGGGAATCAAGCCCTCCTCCACTGCCAGGGCAGAAGCCTGGAGCTGCTAGGAGCCCATCCTCACCGATAGGTGGCCACCTCCATGCTGAGGCTGGTCTTCACCTGCACCAGCTCCTGGTAGTCCCGCAGCCGGTCGGCCATGGCCAAGGTGAGGGCCGCCTTCTCCTCCTCCAGGCAGGCAATCACACCCTAGAAAGAACAGAGGGTTTTAGGTCCCAGGACGGCAGCTTTGCTGGGTCGAACTGAAGGCACCAACAGTTCAGGACACACAGAAAATGATGAAAAACCTCCAGGTGGGTTAAAGATGCAGGCATGGCAAGGGCGACTTGAAATGCCCATTTGTTCCACGTTGAAGTTTTGTTTTTTTTATTGCCTATGGAAGATTTTAACAGGATGCTGTTTATACTCTCTAATAATAATGAATGCTTAAGAGCTTATTGAAGTATCTCCAGTCTGTTGAGGAAAGTCAATGCGATAAACTGGTCAACTAAGGAGCTACTGAAAGTAAGTTGAGACCGAAAAGTGGGGGTTTTACTTGAAACAGAAGTCAATCCAATTTGAAAGATGATTTCCCCCAGACTCATGATTTCCTCGATCATAAGCAGGTAAGCTGATACAGGGGTATTTGTTTCACATAGGAAAGCTACTGTAAAAACATCTGGGGGGGAAAACTACACCAATGAGACAGGAATATGTTCTGGGGAGAAATGTCAAAATTCAGACTGGGAAATAAATCTCTTTTCACTGTACTTGTAGGACATTATTGATAGGCACTTGTTCACGTGAATGACCCTTACGGCCCTTACGCTGGTTAATGACCTCTGCCCATCTCTCTTCCTGGCTGGGAGACAGGGCCTGGGCACCCTCACCTCTAGAGAAATGCCCCCCACAAGCCAGTCACGCAGCACACAGCTGATGAATATACTCAGTTACAAGGTTAGAGTATAGACTACAGATACATTACTCCCTTCTACTATAGGAGATTCAATGTACATATTAAAACCCGAGACTGTGTAATTTATTCTTTTCAAAGAAGATCAAGTATTGTTAAGTTGCTTAGAAAAATTTATCAGGGGCATTCAACTCTCCAACCACCAACCTCCAAAACAGGTCAAGGTCTCCTAGGTGTACCAAAGGGGTATGCACAGAGAGTCTCTCCTCCTGGAGGCTACAGGATAGTTCTGCACTCCCCAAAATGCAAAGAAGAAAATCAAACCGTGTCAGAGTTAAAGCTAATATTGTTCCAGCCACATTGCCACGTGAGTCACCCCTTCCTAAACTCTCAAAAGGAAATGAGTTGACTTTCAGAAGCAGGAACATAAGACTTCCTGGCTTCCAATATTCTCCATCCTGCTGATGGAACAAGACTTCAGACTTGGGCTGTACTTTGCCAAACAATTACAGCCCAGGGGCCAGGCCAGAGGCACGGGAGCCTGAGACACAGCGTGTTAATTCTACCCCAGGCAGGGGCAGCTTCGCCTAAAGTGATAGACGCTGGACAGAGAGTCACGTGATTTCATTGAAATTTGAGGGACTTTTGGGCAGCATCACAAGTGATGATGAAACGTAGGTCCACACCAGGGTACACACACTGTTGCTAGTGTCCAAAGAATTCTGTCTCTTAACCAAACCTGAGCGGCTCCTTGCTGAGCAAGTCACGTAGACATAATAGGAAGAGCTTCCAAATGTCACGGTCACATCACTGGACTCATCAGTGTTAGAGCTCAAGGGGATTTAAACTGTGATCGCCTCAAGTCTGAATGTGCTAACCTCATTTAGACACAGAAGCCAAATGTATTAATAATAATAAGCACTGATCGGATGCTAAGTAAGTATTTATAGCTTTAGCCCAGACCCCATTCGGAACTCTAGACTCCTAATTTTATCTTACAATATCAGGGGGGTGTCTCCGAGGCTTCTCAAACCGAATGCTGCTCTCTTCGGGCCCAGAGCACTCCCTTCGTCCATTCAGACCGCTGTCATGGAGTTAACTTTGATTCTTCCTTCTCTCTCCCTCCACATCCAATCCATCCACTACTGGCTTCAAGTTCAGAGTAGATCCCTGTCTCGGCCCCGTCCCTCTGCCTCTGCCTCTGGCCTGCGCCTCCATCACCTCCTTCCCTGATCACTGCTATCATCTCTTAGAGAGTCACCCAGCCTTTTTTTTTTTTACAGGTCTCCACTGTGCAATGCTGTAACACACCATCTGCATACCATATCCAAAGTCAAGTCTCTTTCCACCACCATTCCCCCCGCTTTGTCCTCTTCTACCTCTCCTGCCCCCCCCCCCAATTTATCTTTGATGGAACAGACAGAAGGAAATGTGGCCCAGTGGTTAGCTGCTCAGGCATTGGTGCCTGAATGAAACCTGGGCTTAGCTATTTACTAACTAGAGACTTCTCAGTTGTATCTATAAATGGAGCCACTACTTGTACCCACCTCATAAGATAGGTGTGAGGACTGAGCATGAACACATGTGAAGGTCTTAACTCCTTGCTCTTTAGGGGGAAGAAACAGATCCCGAGAGACGTATCACTGCACAGGAAGTTGAGGGCGGGACCCTAATTCGGGGTCAGGCACTTCCTTGGGTGGGTCTTGGGGTCCCTGAGGCAAAGAAACGCTTGACAGTGATTCTAACTGCACTTCCCAAGGCCCCCCTTGGAGGGGTTCTTTTAATAGTTTCCTAGCTGGGGTTGCATTTAAGATTTAATTAGGGTGCAAAGGGTTCTTTCTACTGCTAAAACAGAATACTGAAACCAGAGCTTTGAGGTCCACAATGAGCCAAGTGAGCTATGACTGCAAATGAATGGTGGGATACAGCCCACACAACACCCCTCAAAGATGCATTTTCCAAGCCCACTGGCACCTCAGAATCACGTTATCACAAATCTTTAACTCGAAGCCACAAACTGTTCCCTTAGAATACTTCCGAATTTATGGGGATGTTATTTTAAGCTGTCTTTCTGAGAACTACTGATAGAATGATTTGGGAATATTTCCAATTCTGGCCTAGACTGGGCAGGACCAGGGCCAGCCGGAGGACTGGACTGGCTGTCCAGACAATAAATCAGACACAGGTGGTGTCAGAGGTCTGAGCTTTGCTTCTCTGAAATAGAAACTGTTTATATTACCCTGCACTTGTAATAACATCCTGCCACAGGGACCTGCGTCTCCACCGTTTTCACACTACCCAGAGATCTGACTCCGGCTAATACTGCGAAAAAACAGCTCAGATTAACCTCTTTTCTGTACGAAAGTTGCTGCCCCTCCCAGAACACACAAGGGAGGGGCGCAGGGAGCCGCAGTCCGCTGCCTCCAGCTGGAAAATCATTCCGGCAACAACAACAAAACGTTTTGGGAAACAAATTATGTTTTCCCCAGGGGAGCCACAAAGCCAAGGGGCTGCCATTCTAAGTGGTTCCCAGTAAGGTCTTGACCTTGCCTACAAAACTCCCAACACAGGGACCTATCCGGGAAGGAAGGAGCTGTCACTTCTGGGAATCAGAAGGGCTTCTTGGTTGACTTTTATGTGCGCGGGGGTCTAAGCAGCTCAGGAAATTGAAAGAGAACCTAGTGCTGACAGGGCCATTTGTCAGGATGTGCCCAGTCATGTCAAGGTCTAAAAAGCTGACAGCTGGGCGGAGTGGCTCAGTTGGTTGAAGGACCTGTGGTGCACTGACCTGGGTGTGGATTTGATTTCCAGTCGGGAGCCTATGGAAGGCAACGGATCGATGTTTCTCTCTCTCTCCAAGCATGTCCTCAGGTGAGGATTGAAACAATAAATAAATAAAAATATAGAAATTGACAACCTAACAAAATGACAGGGACAGAGCAATCCTCCAGGACCTGGCTGGCACTTGGCACTCGCCCACTGAGTCGATGGATCAACAGACCTAGCCAGTGCTGGAGAGATGTTGGGACCCAGGCGGTTCGGACACCCTCGGGGCCGACCCCACCCATCGGCGACGCCTGGTGATGGCGCTTCGGGTCGAAAGGCCCGTGCTCCCCCGCCCCCCTGCTGGGCGTTCCTGGCCGGGGTAGGGATCATCCCCGCGAACGGACCTGCCGCTCCTGAGCCTGCAGCTCGTAGGCCTCGCGCATCCGCAGCAGCTCGTCCTCCAACAGCGCGCGCAGCTGCTCCAGCTCGAGCGCCCGGCGCTGCAGCGCCTCCACCTCCTGCGCGTACAGCCGGCTCTCCTCCTCCGCCTGGCGCCGGCTCTCCTGGCCGCGCCTCAGTGCCGCCTCCAGCTCGCGCACCTCGTCCTCGTACAGCTGGACGGTCTCCCGCCACGACTCGGCCACCAGCAGCGTGTAGCTGTCGTGCACCTCCTGCAGGCGCGGCGGGGGCGCAGCGAGGCGGGTGGCGCGGGCGCTGTATCGCACGGTCCGGCCGGCGGAGAGCGCGCGCAGCTCCCGCACCTCGCGCTCGTGGGCCGCGTCCAGGCCGCGGCGCTCGGCCTGCAGCCGGCACAGCAGCGCCTCGAGGGCGGCGCGCGCGCTCAGCGCCTCCTGCAGCTCCCGCCGCTGCGCGTCCAGCTCGGCGTCCAGGCGGCGGCGGGCGGCGCGCGCCTCCTCGGCCAGCAGCCGCACCTCCCGCAGCTCGCGCCGCAGCGCATCGCACTCGCCCTCGGCCAGCGCCGTGGCCCAGCTCAGCTCGTCGAGCTGCTGCCGCAGGCCGCGCGCCTCCTCCGCCCAGCGGGCCTGGCCCTCGGCCTCCAGGCCCCCCTGCCCGCGCCGGCCGCGCAGCTCCTCCTCCAGCAGCAGGTTTTCGCGCTCCAGTTCCCGCACCCGGCACACGTAGTCGTAGAGCCGGGCGTTGAGCTCCCGCAGCTCGGCCTTCTCGGGGCCCGTGGTTAGCCGCCAGGACAGCATCATGCTGGGTGTGCGGGCGCTTCCGGCCGGCCTGTCCCCTCCTGTCCCGGTCTTGTCCCCTCCGCCGCTCCGGCCCCGCCGCCGCCGCCGCCGCCCGGGAGGCCCGCAGACTGCGGCGGGAGCTGACCAGCAGCGGCACTTAGCGGACCCGGCGCCCGGGAGGGGGAGCTGGTCAAAGCCTCCAGCCAATCAGAGCGCGGCCCGGCGCTGCGTGCGTGGCCCGAAAGCGCCACCTGCCGGAGTGACCGCGGCGCCGCGCCCGGCCGCCCGAGTCCCAGCCGCCTGCCGTCGGGTAGCAGGGGCGGTGGCTCCCTGTGGCTGCCCAGCGGCGCGGACCTGCGGCACCGGCACCGGAGCGTCCTGGCCTTCGTGGACGGAAATAGAAGCCTCCGGGCGGCGAGATGCAGTGTTTGTCGTGAACCCGGTCATCGGAGGCCCTGGATATTGGAGGATTTTCGATCTTTAAAAATTACATATACGCGTATAACATACATATAGAACCTATGTATACACACATATGTGCATTAAATATTCTGTTTTAACTTAAAACCGAAAGACATCCCCGTTTGCCAAATGTTTCGATGCACAAGCAAGATTTTTGACCAGGGTTGCTGGAATTCCACGTTCTCTTCTTACACAAACTACCCGCAAGGGACAGAGTCTGCGCTTTCCAACATCGTTTCTTGCCTTTGGAGCGAGAACGTGTGAGGTGCTCGGAATGCAGAGTTTTCCTCGACTCCTAACATCTCCCCCAACTTTTCCAGTTGTCACCCTGACGCCTGAAGTGACAGTTGCCTTTTTGCCAACCATGTGCTCCAATTAAGTTGCCATAGAAACTACAGCTCTTTTGCACACGTGTGTTTCATTCCTTTTCATAACAGTTAGTGAAGTTACAAATGACATAACCAGCACAAGTGACATTAAGGGGCACGGGTTTGGGGAGCCCCTGGATTAGTGGGGACAGCCAGGTGTGGGGCTGGGGCCTGGGGAGTCATCCACTGGCTGCAGTGTTCCTGGGGGCAGGGATACCACTCAGTATATTTTGCACATGGCAGGAAAAGATTCTTGCTCAGCAACGTGTTTCAGGGACAGTCCCTCGAGACAGCTTCCGGTGCCCTCCTTGAGTCTCCAACCTCAAATGAAGTGGAGCGGGATTTTGTTTTACTTGAGACCTCGTATCACAGACCCTATTCTGTGGATGGTAGAGATGAATATCTTTCCAATCAGAAGTTCTCCCTCTTTCTGCCAAGGCTAAGGAGAAGGTGGGGGCACAGTCAGTGCCAGATTGAAAAGTCCGAACATATGGAAAGTCCGGGCTCAAGTCCTGGTTTGAGTATTGATCAGGGGTGTGATCTTGGCCAATTCCTCTGCTTCCTTGCTGTCACTAAGGGACTGGGACTACGCTGTCTCCAAGGTTCTAGTGATCTCACCTACTGCCATTCACTCCCTCGTTGTGCCCAAAAGCGTAGGCATGGCATCTCGAGTTTGGTTACAGAAGGCCCTGTGCCTTCCTTCTTTGTTACTCTTCTTTGTCTCTGCATCACTCTCTCTGGGGGAGGTCAGATGCCATGTCGTGAGAGGCTGTGCAGAGAGGTCTAGGCAGGAAGGAAATGAAGCCTGAGACCCAAAGCCCTCCAGCAACCAAGGGCTGCCAAGGACCATGTCAGTGAGCCGGGAAGTGGATTCCCCAGCCCCAGTCGGTCCTTGGAATGACCACCGCCCAGCCCACAGTTTGACTGCAGCCTCGGGAAAGACCCGGAACAGAACAGCCCAGCTAAGCCACTGCTGGATTCCTGACCCTCAGAAACGGTGAGATAACAAATATTTGTTCATTTGAGATCACCTGTTAGGCAGCAATAGATAACTCATACACACCATTCCTGGCTTTTAAATCCTGGAAGCCTAACATCCCTGAAATACAACTATTGCATTCGGGAAAAGCCTGATTTGTTACATTTGTCAGTGTTTCCCCTCCCGCCCCCAGCCCGGTCCTTAAAGACATAGTACAAAATATGCCGGAATAGATTTTGGAGTTGCAATATGTATTTTATTTGTGTTTGTCAATGTTTCCAAAGCTTCATTCATTTTGCTTCCCCGAACCCTTGATTTCACAAATGAAGGTGGAAATCCAGATCAATGAGGTGATTGGAATAATGCAAATGTTCGTTTTCCTATTTGTATTTCTCCAGTGGTGAGTAAAAATGAGGGATGGGCTCACTTTCTTCCACCCCAGCCTCATCGCAAGAAATTTGTCTTGAGCGGTGGTAACAACCACACAAACCTTTGCAGGTAGCCATGGACCCAGGGGAATCCCCCAGGACCTGCGACCAGGCAGCGGCTAGGAGGGACACTGCAGATTGCTGTCACCTGCAGAGAGATAGCTGAAGCCTGGAGAGAGACAGGCAGGCAATGGGGCTACCGTGTCTGCCTAGATTAAGACAGACTTTTGACAGGACAGGAAGTGACAAGAACTGACGTTCTCTTTAAAATGAGACCCCGGTCCCATGATAATGTGGGATAGGAAGGAAATTGGAGGTGTGGAGGACGGTGCAGGGAATCTAAGCAGAGACCCAGGGCAGGCTCACAGCCAGTATTAAGATAAGAAATAGTCCGGCTGGTTTGGCTCAGCAGTTAGAGCGTTGGTCTGCAGTCCAGAGAGACCCGGGTTCAGTTCCCACTAAGGGCACGTACCTCGGTTGCAGTTTGTCCCCGGCCCTGGTTGGGTCATGTGGGTGGCAGCCACTCGATGTGTCCCTTTCATGTCGATGTTTCTCTCTCTCTCTTCCTTGCTCTCCCTCCCACTCTATCTGAACAAAAAATGGAAAAAATGTCCTTGGGTGAGGATAAAAAAAATACATATATATATATATATATATATTTGATAAGAAATAGTCCGGCCGGTGTGACTCAGTGGTTGAGCGTCGACCCTGCACCAAGAGGTCACCGGTTTGATTCCCGGTCAGGGCACATGCCCAGGTTGTGGGCCTGATCCCCAGTGGGGGGCATGCAGGAGGCGGCCAGTTGATGTTCTTTCTCATCAATGTTCCTATCTCTCTCTCCCTCTCCCTTCCTCTCTCTAAAATCAATAAAGGAAAAAAAATTTTTTTTTAAGATAAGAAATAGTAGAGAGCCAGCACCCAGAAGGCTTCCTCATCAGCAAGTAGAGTGCGGTCTATTCATACATTCAAACACAACACGGCAACCCAAGTGAATGACCTGTTGCTGTGGATGGCAGCGTGGATTAATTTCACGAACATAAAATGAGTGAAAGAAGCCAGACTCAAAGGAATGTAGTATTTAAAAACAAATGAAGTTATGGAGTTAGAACATCTCTTTGGGGATGATGGAAAGCAAAATGTCTCGGGTTTTTTAGTAGTATTTTAAATTGTAGCCATTATGATGGGTGTTTAAGAGTTAGAGCTTAGGATTAGCTGGGGGTGGTGTTAGCGTTAGGGTTTTACATTGTCCTGCTTATTAATAAGGTTAAACATTTTTTCATGTATTTATTGGCTACTCATTTATGACATGTTCACATTTTTTGCCCATTTTCTGTAGAGCTGTGTGTCCTTTGCTTATTGGTTTCTTTTAATCAATTTTTATTTATTTTTTAATTTTTTTCTCTTTATTGATCTTAGAGTGAGAGGGGAAGAGAGATAGAAATACTGATGAGAGAGAATATCGACTGGCCGCCCCCTGCGTGCCCCCCACCGGGGATCGGGCCCACAACCTGGGCATGTGCCCTGACCGGGAATTGAACCGGCGACCTCTTGGTGCAGGGTCGACGCTCAACCACGGAACCACACCAGCCGGGCTTATAGGTTTATTTTATTTTATTTTATTTTATTTTATTTTATTTTATTTTATTTTATTTTATTTTATTTTATTTTATTATTTATTTTATTATTATTTTATTTTATTTTATTATTTTATTATTTTATTTATTATTTTATTTTATTTATTTTATTTTATTTTATTTTATTTTATTTATTATTTTATTTTATTTTATTTTCCTATTCTGGATACAAGTCCTGGCATCTAGGGCTATTGCTTGCATCTGTGGCTATTTCTCTGTGGTTACAGGCATTGTCAATATTTTCTCCCACTCCAAGCCTTTTCTCTTTCTTAGTGGTATCTTTTTAAAATTGAGACATAATTCACATACCATAAAATACACCTATTTAAAGTGTACATTTCAGTGGTTGTTAGTATATTCACAAGGTTGTGCATTCATCATCACGATCTAATTCTAGAACATTTTTATCAGCTCCGAAAGAACCCCTTTCCCATTATCTGTCCCTTCTCACTTCCTCCTTCTCCCTCCCATCCTTGGCAACCACTAATCTACCTTTTGTCTTTATGGATTTGCCTGTTCTGAACACTTTATATAAATAGGGTCATGAAAATGTGTTCTTTAGTGTCTGGTTTCTATCACTAAGCAGGTTTTTAAGGTTTATCTATGTTGTAGCATGTATCAATACTTCATTCCTTTCTGTGGCTGAATACTATTCCATTGCATGTGTACAACAGACTTAACAGACTTTGTTTTTCAATTCATCAGTTGATGGATACTTAGGCTGTTTCTACGTTTTGGCTGTTATGAATAATGCTACTGTGAACATTTGTGTACAAGTTGTTGTATAAACACATGTTTTCATTTTTCTTGGATTTTTTTAAGGTTTTTTTTTTTCTTTATTGATATGAGAGAGAGAGGAAGGGAGAGGGAGAGAGAGATAGAAACATTGATGAGAGAGAATATCGATTGGCTGCCTCCTGCATGCCCCTCACTGGGGATCGGGCCCACAACCTGGGCATGTGCCCTGACCAGGAATCGAACTGGTGACCTCTTGGTGCGTGGGTCGATGCTCAACCAGTGAGCCACACCAACCAGGTTCATTTCTGTTGGATTTAAAGCTAGAAGTGGAATTCCTGGGTTATATGGGAGCTCTATCTTTAGCTTTTTGAAGAATGGCCAAACTTCTCAAAAACAGTCTCAACATTTTACATTCCCACTAACAAGGTATCAGGGTT